AGATGTAGTGCTGTAGACAACTTTCAGATGTGTGGCTTTAAGCAGATGTGTGGCTTTGAGCATCGAGTATTGATAACTGTGGCTGAAAAATCCACGTCAAGTGATATTTCCAATGAATAATTCAGCAAACTTGAATTACAAATATGCACTTTGTGTCTGTTATGGAGAAACTGAAGGCAGCTTTCAGTCATACGTGTGTTTTTAAGCAGAATGTTGGTGTGGGTGACATCTTTTCTTTTTATAAATAGCAAAGAGACAGATGGTCCTAACTTGAATGGATAGTACTGAACAATTCTACATAAACCACGCTGTCAACTCTCAGTTTATGCTGTGATATGCAAATACGTCTTTTTTGTTGCGAGTTTCTTTCCTGTACCAACTGAGACAGAAAACGCTATCGAACAGCTATTGAAACAAAGTAAAAAGTGCTCTACCATTCGTAGCTTTCCATCCACGTCGTGGTACTTTGTCACCAAAAACTTAACGTGAATCGTGGGTTTCAAATTCAAGACTTAAATTGATATTTTAGTAGTAGTTTGTTTTTCAAGCATCAAATTATGAATCTTTGATACTGTATTATTTAGATTTACTTGAGGGTGCTACTTTTATCACTCATTAAATTGTCGTAGCAAGTTCGCTTTACTCAACTCCTATTACTTCTTCTATTGCATCACCTTTGATTGACAATTTTTGTCTAAACTAATATTAGGCTAAATCTTCAAATAAGCTGTATTATCTTTATATTGCTCTGTGTTTCGTTGCAAATTTTGTGTCCCAACGAACTATCTTCCGAACTGTTAGGCCAAAGTCTCATCTCGCAAAAGTGTAGCATTACAGGTTTTTGTCGAGCTAAACTATCCGATTTTTCAAGCTAAACTCTCTTCCTTTTGATATTTCTTGGTCTTACTCTCTAAGTTGAAACCAAAACTAAATCTTGCTGACTGTTTACGCCATATTCTTTTACTTTCTCTATCGAGCGGTCTTTTTCTTCTAGCTTTCGTCGAACTAAATCTGTCCGACTTATTAGGCCGGGATCTTTAAAACTTTTTGGCCTAATGCTGCAAGCTGGTGTTATCGCTCTATCTTACTTGCATTATCGTATGCCATACATTACCTGTACATTACATTTTTTATTGAAAGTCAATCTGCACAACTTGCTAGGCTTGTTTCCTTTCTGTCACAGCTACAATCCCGGACAAAAATAGTGGGGACTTTTCAAGGAAAGTTGATATATTCTTTGAAAAATAACTTTCCCCTCCTCAATTCAATGTTGAATGCATGATTTTGAAAGAGAAATGATAGAACTACAAATCCAACATTGATTCGGGGGAAAGGGGGGATTTGAATTTGCAGGGGCAACGTAAAGCAGAAAATTGCAAAAATTGTATTTTGTCTCAACATCTTTGTCGTTGATTCTATGCCTTACATTTGAGTTGATCGCAACGCTGAATCACGCTTTTCTTTCAACCTATCTTGCAATCTTTTATAACAATTTTCGCAAGTAAAGATACGTCCAATAATAAAACCTTATATAATTAGAGTGATATCATTTTTATTCATCAAACTTAAATTGTTTTGAGGGAGTGTCATCGAAAATCCAATCAGTTTCACTCAATTAGTCTGACTCATTTTGACAAATGCGAATAATTGAAGCTTTGCTCTTATCATACAGTGACAACCAACATACTGGTTTTCAAACGTCAACATCTCTTCGTTGCCGTGGTTGCCATTAAATGTTGACTCTAGCATAAAAAACGTTTTAAATATAACTATGAAATTTTGTTAAGCAGGCGAGTTAATATTGAATCAAAAAAATTTTGATCTAACGAAACTTTGCCATCAAATATTATGAAGGTAAACAATTTCATGAATGGTTTACTTCGAATGCTTGATCCGATAAGTGAACCTTAAGAATCGGCACTGCGAACATAAAGTAAATGTTGTTTAACGCCAGCCGTTATTTTACGTGCTGAAATAAAATATTAATGACCTGCTGGTTGTGTTGAAGCTGTTTCTGTCAAAGCCTCGAGTTTGTGAGCAACTGACAACGTCTTTGACCAATTTCATGACGCCTCACCGTGCCAGAGTAACTGCTAGCTGCTTGCACGAAAGGTTATTTAAATGTTAAAGTTGCTGTTTTATGTCATGCTAGTATTGTAAAGCAAAGCAAAGTATAGCAAAGTATAGCATAGCATAGCATAGCATAGCATAGCTTAGCTTAGCATAGCATAGCATAGCATAGCATAGCATAGCATAGCATAGCATAGCATAGCATAGCATAGCATAGCATAGCATAGCATAGCATAGCATAGCATAGCATAGCATAGCATAGCATAGCATATTTATCTTGAGCGTAAGATAAAAACTACGTTTTACATCTTAAAAAACCTGTTTCGTTTTACATCTATAAAAACCAGTTTCGTGAATCACTAACTCATCGGGTACTCTTCATTCACTTTGAAGAGTGAGTTATTCACGAAACAGTCAATATATATCGCGCTTTACGTGTACACATATTGAGCAATGTGCGAACTGAATTATCTAACTACAGTCTTCATATATTTAAATTTTTATACATTTATATATATTTTTACAGAGATTTATTCATGTGTCAGTATTAATCAATGAAGACTTCCGATGGAGAAGGCAATCCTCGTGTAGCCGTGAAAGTATGGCAAATGGGGAACGCTTGCAAAAAAAGTCAGACTGTCCCATGCTTTCGCGTTGAACCAGACACAACAAATTACGGAACAGATGCCGACAAAGACAAAAAAGTGTACTGCTTACCTTGGGAAGAGCGAGAGAAGACAGTCCAAAGAGGTGGAGAACCTCGTTGCTTCTGCTGGTGTTGCTTTTGCACATGTAGCCTGTATGTATCCTCATATAAACGTTACCAATTTATCAAAGCAGCCATTCCCTATTTTCTATTTTGCAGGACAATTTGCTTAGATACAAAATAATGCATCGTGTATTAGCTCTTTGCACGTAGACTCTTCGCTTCAAGAATTTTCTGGTCTTTTAGTTATCTATCTATATACTATTGTAACCTACCATGGCAAGGGAGAAATTCGAAGCATTGTTGATTAGATTTATCGTCATTTCATACTGCTTTTCAATTGTATCCCGGGTTTTAGAGTAGCCAAAGCACTTGATCTTCGTGAATGAACGCTTATCTGCCTCTCTCCTGCTTCAACCTTTTAGCAATGCGCCAAAAATCCCACTCCAACGAAAGACATATCCTGGTCACGGCACCATTTTTTTAGACTGGCCAAAGAGAGCACAGTGTGTCTAGAAATCAAATATAAACAAATCATCATAGCATTTACACGAGAACTTACATAGATAAGCGTAACTGTGGTAACAAATATAGAAGCAATTAATCAAACTTATATCTGTTATGTAACAATGATCCTTTATTGCTCCTTTGCTTTGCTGGTATAGTCTTGCATTGTGTTAACTTCTATCATCCTTGCACCAGCCCTTTTATGAAGCTTTCAGGAGTGACAATATTAATGGAAATGAGCAAACCAACTGCAGGGGTTCTTTGAATTGATGCTTGAAGGCTTTGCTAACTTAGTTATTATTGTATCTTTCCAGAAAGTCTTCAGGTAGTGTAAGTTCCGTCAGAGGTACTGGTGGTTCGCTGCTTGATATAGCAAAATACGGAATCAACGATCAAAGGTACAAAATTAGATATTTGCTCTTAGAACATTTATGTATAGTACCGTATGTAAGAGAGTACATTTACGTAACAAAATTAGATGTGCCTAATAAGCATCTGCAAATAAATTACTGCATCTAGGAAACATGATAGCTCAATGAATATGTGCTGCTAGATTTTTTGAACGGCGGAAATGAAGAATCCAGATGGATATCATGTTAGCTAGATGTCATATTTTAGGAGAGCGTTCCTTGACCCTAGGCGACATGTGATTCGTAGATGCAATCAAAAAACTCCTTGATTTGTATGACACGAGGTTTATCGGATTATCCGAACCGGATTCTTCACCTTCGCCTTTTTAAACTATTATACATAGACAGGTTTTATGAGAAAATGTTTTTATCCAGTCAACCTTCAAAGTCAATGATAAAAAATTTAGTAAGCGGAAAGTATTTATG